ACCAAAGATAAGTCAGTGAGGAAACTAAGAAGTAAATTTTAAAAAATTCTTGAAACACAAATGGAAATACAAGATACAAAATCTGTGGGATATAACAAAAGCAATACTAAGAGGGAAGTTGAGAGTAATAAATGTCTATATCAAAAAAGTAGAAAGGCTTCAAATAAATAGCTCAATGAAACAATTCAAGGAACTAAAAAGGCAGGAATGAGCCAAACCTAAAATGAGGAAAAGAAATAATGATGATCAGAACAGAAATAAATGAAATTGAGACCAAAAATAAAAAATATAGAAGATCAATAAAACAACAAGTTGGTTTTTTGAAAAGATAAGCAAAATCTATAAACCTTCAGCTAGACTAAGAAAAAGAGAGAAGACCCAAATAAATAAAATCAGACATGAAAAAGGAGACATAGCAATTGGGAAATAAGAAGTATGAAGAATCATTAAAGACTATTAGGAAAAACTATATGGCAACGGATTGGAAAACCCAGAAGAAATGGATAAATTTCTAGACACATACAACCCACCAAGATTGAACTGTGCGGAAACAGAACACCTCAACAAAATAGCCATGAGTAACGAGATCAAAGCTATAATTAAAAAGTCTATCGGCCAGGAAGGGTGGCTCATGCCTATAATCCCAGCACTTTGGGAGGCTGAAGTGGGCAGATTGCCTGAGCTCAGGAGTTTGAGATCAGCCAGGGCAACACAGTGAAATCCCGTCTCTACCAAAATACAAAAAATCAGCTGGGCTGGCAGCGTGTATCTGTAGTCCCAGCTGCTTGGGAGGCTGAGGCAGAAGAATTGGAACCAGGGAGGCGGAGGCTGCAGTGAGCTGAGATCGCACCACTGCACTCCAGCCTGGGCGACAAAGCCAGATACCATCTCAAAAAAAAACGTCTTCTATCAACAAAAGCCCAGGACCTGAAGGCCTCATTGTTGAATACTATCAAATATGTAAAGAAAACTATACTAATCCTACTTAAACTCTTCATAAAAAAAAAAAAAAAAACAAGAACGAAAAAAAAACTGAAGAGGAGGGAATACTTCCAAACTCATGTTACAAGGCCAGTATTACCCTGATACCAAAACTGATGAATACTGATGCAAAAATCCTCAATGAAACAGTAGCAAACCAAATTCAACAACACATTAAAATGGGGACTGAAAAGATCATTCATCATGATCAAATGCTATTCATCCCAGGGATGCAGATGGTTCAACATACATAAATCAATAAACACGATACAACATATTAACAGAATCAAGAAAAATAACCATATGATTATTTCAATAGATGCCAAAAAAGCATTTGATAAAATTCAACATGCCTTTATGATTAAAAATCCTTATCAAAATCAGTATAGAAGGAACATACCTCAAAATAATACATGCCATATATGAAAAACCCACAGCTAGCATTGTACTGAATTGTGAAAAACTGAAGGCCTTTCCTTTAAGGAGAAGAACAAGTAAAGGATGCTGACTTTCAGTATTATACAACTTAATACTGGAAGTGCTGGCCGGGGCAATTGGGCAAAAGAAAGAAATTAAGGGCATCTGAATTGAAAAGGAAGAAGTCAAATTAGCCTTGCTAACAGATGACATGATCTTATACCTAGAAAAACCTAAAGACTCCACTAAAAAACTGTGAGAACTGACAGATGAATTCAGTGAAATTGCAGAATGTTTCAACATACAACAATCAGTGGTGTTTAAATTTGCCAATAGTGACTATCTGAAAAAGAACTCAAGAAGCAATCTCATTTACAATAGCTACAAAATAGAAAATAACTAGGCAGCAATCTAACCAAAGAAGTGACAGAGCTATGTAAGGAAAATTATGAAACTCTGATGAAAGAAAGTGAAGAGAACACAACAAGTAGAAAGATATTCCATGCTCATGGATTAGAAGACTTAATACTGTTGAAATGGATATACTACCCAAAGCAATTTACAAATTCAATGGAGCAAAGTCCTCAAATTTATATGGAACTACAAAAGACCCTGAATAGCCAAAGTCATCCTGACTAAAAAGAACAAAGCTAGAGGCATCATACTACCTGACTTCTAAATTTACTACAAAGCTATAATAACCAAAACAGCATGGTACTGGCATAAAAACAGACACATAAACCAATGGAACAGAATACAGAACCCAGATATGAACCCACACATTTAAGCCTCCCGGGTTCAAATGAGTTTTGTGCCTCAGCCTCCCGAGTAGCTGAGATTACAGACATCCACCACCACACTCGGCTAATTTTGTATTTTTAATAGAGACAGGGTTTCACCACGTTGGCTAGGCTGTCTTGAACTCCTAACCTCAGGTGATCCTTTATAAGCACACAAAGGTGCCAAGAACATTCAATGGGGAAAGGACAGTCTTTTCAGTAAATGGTATAGAGAAAACTGGATAACCAAATGAGAAGAATGAAATTAGATCCCTATTTCTCACTCTTCACAGAAATAAAATCAAAATAGATTAAAAGACTTAAAAATGTCAGACTTGGTACAGTGAAACCACTACAAGGAAACACTGGGGAAATGTTCCAGGAGATAGGTTTGAGTAAAGTTTTTTTTGTTTGTTTGTTTGTTTGTAAGACCTGAAAAGCATAGGAAATCTAAACAAAAATACACAAATGGATTACATCAAGCCAAAAAGCTTCTGTACAGCAAAAGAAAAAATAATTAACAAAGTAAACTATAGGAGAAAACATTTGCAAAGTGTTTATCTGACAAGGGATTATTAACCACAATATATAAGGAACTCAAACAGCTCAATAGCAAGAGAAAAGAAGATTTAAAAATGGGCAAAAGATCTGAACAGATATTCCTCAAAGAAAACCAAGAAGAAATGGCCAACAGGTATATGAGAAAAATGCTCAATATCACTGATCATTAGAGAAATGCAAATCAAGACCACAACTCAGATATCACCTCACCCCAGTTAAAACAGCATGTATCAAAGTGATGGGCAGTAATAGATGCTGGCAAAAATGTGGGAAAAGGAGAATCCTCACAAGCTGTTGGTGGAAATGTAAATTAGTACAGCCACTGTGGAAAACAGTATGGAGGTTCCTCAAAAACTAAAAATAGAACTATCATATGTTCCAGCAATTCCATTACTGGATATACATTCAAAAGAAAGAAAATCAATACATAGAAAAGTCATCTCCACTCCAATGTTTACTGCAGCACTCTTCACAGCAGCCAAAACATGAAATCAACCTGCTCATCAACAGCAGAATGAATTTTTTTTTTCTTTTTTTGAGATGGAGTTTCGCTCGTTACCCCGGCTGGAGTGCAATGGCGCGATCTCGGCTCACTGCAACCTCCGCCTCCTGGGTTCAGGCAATTCTCCTGCCTCAGCCTCCTGAGTAGCTGGGATTACAGGCATGTGCCACCATGCCCAGCTGATTTTTTTGTATTTTCAGTAGAGACGGGATTTCACCATGTTGACCAGGATGGTCTCGATCTCTTGACCTCATGATACACCTGCCTCGGCCTCCCAAAGTGCTGAGATTATAGAGAATGAATTTTTTTATAAAGTGGTATATATCCACAATGGAATATTATTCAGCCATAGAAAAGGAATCTGCAGCAACACTAATGGAACTAGCAGCTGTTATGTTAAGTGAAATAAGCCAGGCACCAAAAGACAAATACCGAATCTTCTCACTCATATGTGGGGGCTAAAATGGGATGTCATGAGGATGGGGAGTAGAATGGTGATTACCTGAGGCTGGGAAGAATAGGGAGAAGGGTAGGGAGGAGGAGTGATGAAGGGAATTTTTAAAAATATAAACATACTTAATACCACTGAACTTTACACTTTAAAAAGATTGTAAGTTTTATATGTACATTTTACCTTAAATTTTTTTTTCTTTTTTTTTTTTTGAGACAGAGTCTAGCTCTGGCACCTAGTCTAGAGTGCACTGGTGCAATCTTGGCTCAAGCCTCCCGGGTTCAAGTGATTCTCCTGCCTCAGCCTCCCAAGTAGCTGGTATTACAGATATGTGGCACCATGCTCAGCTAATTTTTGTATTTTTAGTAGGGATGGGGTTTCACCATGTTGGCCAGGCTGTCTCGAACTCCCGACCTTAGGTGATCCTTGCAAAATCCTGGGATTAAAGGCATGAGCCTCTGTACCTGGCCTCAAATTTTTAATAAGCATAAAATTGGAGAAAAAAAAAAAAAAAAAGGCAAACTTGTAAATACCCTAGGTGAAGAAATAAAATAATATGGTTGAAAATATGTAGTTTAATGTTGTGACTTCCAAAGATTTTCACTAATACGCTGATTATATCTCTTTTCTCAACATCTTAGAATTTCTAGCTTGAAACACTTCTGACATGTAAGAGGCCAGTCATTTGTGGGGACTCCAGATTGTTTTACCGCAGACAAATCGGCACTCTAAAACATTCTGATTCAAGTTTGAAGTTTTAAGACAAAAGAAATTTAAATATAGACTTATTCAAGGCCCACATGTAAACCATACTTTAAAACTTTTAAAAGAAATGCATTATTCCCGACTACTCAAACATGTCCAGGGAAAAGAGCTGAAAACTTAGGTGTGTATAGAGAGGGAAAGACCTACCTGAAGATCCTCTGAAAGCAATATTAGGGTCAGGGTGATGCCTGGGGAAATGCAAACTCACTCTAGCCCTCAGGCTTGAAAGAAAAAACAACCACAAGCATAATCAAAGCTGTCAGTTTGGTATCTATCCTTCCTCTAAATCCAGATAGGACCAGTAATCTCCAGTCTGGACTTCAGTGAGTGTCAGTGTTTTAATTAAATGAAGGAGTTACCAGGCAAGGTTGTGGAATGTCATTCACTGAAAGCCTTAAAGCATACACTTTCATCTGCCTGGAGCCAGAAGGGGAACGGCAGATGACCCCTCATAGCTGCCTCTAATGCTAACAGACTGAGGTTAAAGCTGACCCTGGAGCAGCTCAGTAAACATTGCGTCATTGATTTTCTGGCCTGGGCTCACCTCCCTCCGCACCGGGGTGCTGTGCGCTGCAGCGGCCGCGAACTGCTCCAGGACCTGCTGCTGCTCCTCAGTGGGCGGCTCCGGCCCAGGCGCTCCCGCGTGCCCCCGTGCTCCCACTGCCTCCTGGGGCTCTGCCTCCTGGTCCGGCTTGGATTCCGAGTCTGATCCAGATTCTGTCGTCATGGTTGATTGTTCTGCAAGCAGAAAAAAAGGAAGATCAGGTCACTCCATGCAGCTACCTTCCCTCTGCAAGAAAACTAAGATGCTCACCGTGAATGGCTCAAGAGAACCAACCACAAGGATAGAGGAAGATGCTACCAAACCCCATCCTATTCCACACAACCGACAGACGACCTGTCAACTTCACCACTGAGATGGATGCCCACCAGGGGCTCAAAACTAACAATTACCTAGGAGGGAAAGTTGATTTGTAATGATCACAAGCTTTATTCCTATTAGATTTTTGCCACAATGGATTGTTAAATGACATTAAAGAAATGTCATAATAATTAAATATCTTACATTCAATTAAAAAATACATTTGCTGCATCGCCTGCATATATATTTCAGTCCTTGGGAAGGATTATCTAATAATGGAAGCAGACATTCTTTCTCATTTCTCTCCTCCTATTTCTACAGGGGTCCTCTCAACCGCTGAATCTATGGAAATCTCAAGGAACTATCTCATGCCTTTCCCATGTGATGTCCCCTAATCCTGTTATCCCCCTTTGAGTTAGCAACTGAGCTACAACAGCAGCTTCTTCAGGGACTCGGGATCTGTCCCACTGGCCATACCTGGAAGGGCACAGGCAGTATCACCTGTCCTTCCCTCCCAAGTTAATTCTCATCTTCCTGGCTTCCCCCTATTTCCCTTGAGTGTTGAAAGGTTAAGTTTGTCTCATATCTCATAAGGAACTAAAACACAGATTTTAATATATAATAATCTGCTGATACATCTTTTAAAAAGACCTACTAAAATATGAACACCATCTTCCCAAAGATTGCAAGTCAAGATGTTTTAAGATTTTGTGCCTCAGTTTCCTTCCACACATGCCGAATGGGGACACTGAACATGATAATACCTAAAGAACTTATTTCTTGCTATTAGATTTTTCTCCTACTAATGATACACACCACTAGGTTTTAAAAGCAGATTTTTGCTCTAAGCAGCAAGAAAGCTGCTATTATGCCAAGTAGATACCATGTCATTTTAAGCAATTTCTTATCTTAGGCATATGGAGTAAGTATCTCAGTACAAATATGTCATTATTGTCATATAATTTCCCTTCCTAATTCAAATTTTATAGTAAAAATATGAGCAAAGAACTAGTGTAGTGCTTTAAGCAAACTATATAATTGTATAATACAGAATCATGCAAAGATAAAAAGAGTAACTCTTAGTTTCTATCTCCACTATATAAAGAAATATCTTTAATAATTTGAAGAAGAAGGGAACATCATAAATACCAATCTATGTTATAAACTAAATGCTATATCTGTGTTTTCTATTTAGGGTTACTTTTCACAATCAACAGATATTCTGTTGAATAAAAGAGACATACCAATTTGGCATGTACTTAGTTGCCCAAAGCATATGTAAATATCAATCCAAATACAGAGAAAGGTAGTAATGCAAATAAAATAAGCAAACTTTCTTTTTTCCTGTTACAATACATTTTAGATTTTGAGGCAAATCTTAAAAGTAAATATTTTATTCTCTTTGGTATGCTTATCCTAGAAAGTGGCATAAATATATAGAGAAAAAGGCAGGGGAGGAAAGGCAGTAGAGCTTCTGATCAAATTCCATCTTTTGGAAAAGAAAGGATTAGCTTTATTAGTAAATTCAACCCACCACACATTTATTGAGTACCAAGTATAAGCCAAGCACTGCTTGTGATTTAGAAACAAGAGATTCATCTGTTGTAACCACTACCCCGCATCCCAAGGATGCGCCAGAAATATTCTGTGCAGAAATATTCTCCCCTGAATCCATTTTCTCCATCTTCTTTTGGTAACTAAGCTTTCAGTTTTAGCAGGTGCCCCTTCACCCAGCCTGAGACTACAATGAGCTGTGGCTGTGTGATCAAGACAACAGAAGGAGACAACAGAAAAAAACTGAACTCAATGTTTAGGACATCTTCATAAAGACAAAGCCACTTGCCCTAGATTTCCCTTTCCCATTGGCTGGATGTGCTGTTCTTAAACCCAGTCCTGGACAAGTCACATTCAGGGGAGACAGAGCTGCCCCCTCCAGCACGGTTCTCTAGATGACCTCGTGGACTATGACCCACCTGTGAGGCAGAAATCAACAACTTTAGCTTGTGTTCACTTGCTTAGGAAGTTGCTAATCCCATGATTTTAGTGTTATCATCCTAGTCGGAAAACCATTTTGCATCTGCTTTTGTCTTAAATCCAGGACCATCTCCAAAGCAGAGAGCCAGCAGTACACAAGCTAAATAAAAATGTAAAATGGATAGAGCCCAACAACCACCTACCAACTATCTGAAGAATAAAATAATGTACCATTACTTTTAATCTATGACTATACCATATAATACCTTACCTGTTGTGTATCACACAAATCACAGCAGCTCATACCTCAAAATCATCTACTATGCCCTTGTCATATATTTCCTAGGTATATTAATTTTTCCAGCACTATAGGTATAATATAATAAATGCAAATCTTTGCTGTTTGGACCAATTTTAATAAAATAAAACTGTCAAGACTACTGAGAGATAAAGTAATAAAACTTTAAAAGGTATGACTTTTTAATGCTGGAATATCACTAGAATCAATATCTAATTCCACATTTCTCAAAGGGCATAAGCTCTTGTTATTCCTACAAATAAACCAGTATAAATAGCCTATATCAGCAAATTCTATTTTAAAACTTGTTTCCTCTTCTCCACCCATACGCCAATGTAAGCAAGCAATAAGCTGATTTTTAATGGCAAACTATTTTAAACATCTAAATACAGTATGTCTGGCCAAGCTCAGTGGCTCACGCCTGTAATCCCAGCACTTTGGAAGGCTGAGACGGGTAGGTCACTTGAGGCCAGGAGTTCAGGAGCAACCTGAACAACATGGTGAAACCCCAACTCTACTAAAAATTAACCAGTCATGGTACTGCGTGCCTGTGATCCCAGCTATTTGGGAGGCTGAGGAACGAGAGTTGCTTAAACCTAGGAGGCAGAAGTTGCAGTGAGCTGAGATCATACCACTGTACTCCAACCTGGGTGACGCAGAGTGACTCTGTATCAAATAAATAAGTCTAACTTTAGTTATTTTAATAAGTTTATAGTGCGCTCCTTCATTCTTAAATCCAAATGCCAAACCATTTTTTTAACTAGATTTTCATGATATTTACATTGCTTTGGTTCTTCTTTTTCTTATACTCGTTCCTTGCTTTCTGGGATGGTTCTTGCCATTTAAAATCACAGTTTTCCCTTTCCAACTAACTAAAGACTATTGTTTTCCAAGGTTCCTTTCTCTTCTGATAGGCTCGCTTTGGACCAAACTATCTACCAATTATTTGGGCTACTGGAAGTAAACATCATCACTTGAAATCCCAAACAGAAAGTGATACAAAATCGAGTTATGCTTAGTTTTGACTGAAACTGTCCTTTCTTTATACCAAATTTACCTTACAATTGTGTTTTGCTTGGGCTTTAAAGGTTTAGATTCCTAAAAACTCCAAATCCTAAAAGTTGGGGTAAGGACATTCATAAGTATGCTAGGCAGATGGCAAAAGAAGTCCTTAATTTTTTTAAAAGAAACGTAAATTGTATTTCAATATGCCTCTCTCAGGAATATATTTATTAAATGAATATCAGAAGAAATGGTAATGAGCTTCAAAGGATGCATGTACAGGTATGAATGAAATCATCTTCACAATTCCCAATCTAATTCACCTACAAAAAGACAGTCATTGTCACGCATTTCTGGCTTTATTCCTTTTCAGCTCTAATTTTTTATTCCACAGAAGTAAGAAGAGTCAGTTAATCCTCGTCTTTTCCACTTTGAGAAGTGGCAGCTCTAAAATCTCCAGCTCCTAACTAAATGACTGCTAAATTAGTTTCTGTATTCAAATTTACCTGCCTCTCTTGCTGACATGAAAATTCAGTGGCATTTTATTAAAAGACACAAACTAAAGATTTAGTGAAGGAAAATGCTTAACATAAATTTCTGTCATTTATGTGTAAAACAAGATTCCTACAGAATAACAAAGTATTTCATAAAAGAAACCTCTTCATGCCATTTACCTGTCTAACAAGGATGTAGGACTAAATGGACAAACTTTTTAACATCAACTTTTTTTCTTTTTTAAGTGTAAGTTTATAGGAGAAGTGGGTCTTTCTTAGCATAAGTATTTGTGACTACTCAGTACTATCCACCAGTCTGCTAAAAACCATCAGTTGCTAGCAAGCTAGAAGACAGTAATATACTTTGACCCTTCTACTGGATTTTTTCTATTTGCATGAAAAAAATGCCCTAGTATCATCCATCTAAAAAGAAAAATCCCAAAAAGAAACCAAAACAACCTGCCATTGGTCTCACATTCAACTCTCCCACTCCCTCTAATAGGACCTACCTCTCTACTTTTCTGTAGAGCCAAGCTTCTGGAAGGAATTTTCTTCTCATGCTGTCACCACATCCTCCCACTCACTCACCCTTCAGTATATGTCTCATAATTCTAGTAACCTTGCTGAGGTTACCAATGACCTCCCCACTAGCCAGTCAATACTAGGTGATATCCCTTCTCTTTCAGTTCTCCAGGTTTGACACCCTCTCTGTTTCCTTCTATCTTTACTGACTACTCTTCCTCATTTCCACTTGCCTCTGCGTATTCGATTTCCCATATTCTACTTCTAAACTTTGCAATTCTTTATGAATCTATCTCACTCTTTAAATCCTCCTTCTTGGAGAGCTCATCCACTTCATTTCAAGTACGATGACAATTCCAAATTTTGGGACTTCTCCCTGAGCTTCAGATCCATAAACACAACTTTCCATCTCACTTCTCTACCTGGATATCTCAGAAGCACCTAAAACTGAACATTTTCCCATACAAACCTTTGATCTCTGCAACGTCCCCTGCCTGCTGCCAACCCCTTATCCGCTTGACACCCATCTTTCCCATTGCAGCAGGTGGCCGCCATCTGTTCTAGA